GCCGGGTGAAAGTCTATGTAAGTGTTTAGTTTCAATTAATCTACGTATGGAAGTGCATTTTACTCTATTCATATAAATTTTGAATTATGCTCCTTTAGTTTGAATTATTTAATTTCCAGGGTGAAGTGCTGAACAATGTCCGTATGAGGGCCATATCATTCCGAGAAGAACGTCGTAGAGCCCATGACCTAGACGACGAGCTCGAAAAGGTGCACGACCATTTTGCGGACGTAACCCACACTGCTTTAACTCTCGGAAAGGACGATGAGATGGAAATTGAGGATTTCTAAATCCTTGTGAAGTATGATACGAGTCGCCCCTCACCAGGCCCGTGCGGTGAAATAAAAAAGCTGTGGCCAAGAGATGAAATTGGAGGGAAAAGAAAGCGAAGGAATCCTTTCGGCCATCACAGGATTACGCGGAAGGTTCGGGCCAACACGAGCAAGAGAACCAAGAGGAGAGAATGTGGGAGGAGGGGAGGAAATGGGAGGAGACAATGTGAGAAAAGAGTACGATGTTAGTTCTTCGAGAGGATCTTACACTCCACATGAAGAAGAGGTACCTCCCACCATTACTCTCGGAGGAGAATCACAAGTCCTAAACGTGGAGCCAATTCTTACAATCTGTCCAGAGCCGCCGGAACAAGGAGTTCGCAAATCCGACTGGCCGCGCAACCCGCTGGTTAAATTTACCCCGTCTACTATTCCTAGGAGAGGGAAAAAATGATTGTTGATTAATCTTTTTTAGGGTTTTTGAATGATTTTAGATTGTTAGTTGAGAATTTTACATGATTTTGTTATGAAAATATGGTCGTTTTATTGTTGAATTAGTTTGTTATGAATTGGTTGTTGGTGCTGTTTAAACAGAGTTAGGACTAGTGAAAACCAGTTCATTATTCTTTTTTCAAGTTTCTGGTATCTCTCGGATTTGGCAAATCCAAAAGATACCATTTGGGGTTCTTTCGGATTTGGTAAATCCGAGAGTTCCGCAGATTCTGCAGATCTTTCGGATTTGGCAAATCCGAGACCTCTCCTATCTATTTTTTACAATTGAAATTTTTTCCGAAATTTAAAATAATATTTTATTCAACAACTCAGATTTCTCAAATCCGAAACACTTTGTCTCGAATTTGGCTGATCCGTTTCTAGTCAAATTTTGTTTCCGAACACTTAAATTTTTTTTTCAAAATATAAATTATTTTTTTATTGAAACCTTTCGGATTTGTCAAATCCGGAATTTCATTAATTTTAATTAACTATTTAGTTAAATTTAATTAATTTCAGCTTGGACGGCTTTCGGATTAGACAAATCCGAATTGTCTTGCTCTTGGATTTGCTAAATCTGATTCTTTGTGCCTCTCGGATTTGGCAAATTCGGGACATCTATTTCTGTCTACCTTATTTCTTTTCAAATTATTTTTATCTATGTACTTCTTTTGATAATTTTTTCGGTACAAAACTCTAATTTTGTGTACATATTCCATGATGATGACACATTTTTCATTTTTTTTAAGTTAACTTTAGCATACATACAACTTTTGTTGTTTGCTTTTTCTTTGATGAAAAAGATGGACAATTTATTGTCTAGATGAATAAGACTACAAACGTGTCAAACGTTTGATGAGGCCCTCTTGCTTATCATACATTTTATGTTGTGAAAATGATGTTTCAATAACCCCCTTAACTACTAGTGTTCTTTGAAATAATTAAATATATATCTTTTTAATTTTTTAGCTAAAACCATTTTGAATTGAGACCGATATACATTCAAAAGTCAAGTGAGTATATTATAAAAAGTTTCCAGGAAATCTTACCTTACGTAATGTGAATGAGAGAACCATTGAAGACATGTTGTACATAAGAAATTAGAGTATTATGTATTAAATAACAGAACACGGTTGAAACTGTTTTTTTTTTTCCTAATTTTTTAATTTAAGGTTCGGGTTATTATACATTCCAATCATCTCAATTACTTACGAAAGTTATAATAAAATTTTATTTCTAAATTCTTATTGGCCGGCATCTCACAAATCCCTATTAAACCTTCTGATTGGCCGGAAAAAATATTTAGCACACTACTACTTATAAGAATCATGTTGACAATTATTTTGGCAAGTCAAGAATATGATACTTAGGACAAAAATACTAATCACACTATATCTTGCAGCCACATCTAGTGCTGAATGTGAAAGTTGATATTTCAAATTAGAAAGGTTGCCAAATATTCCTTCTATTTTAAAATACAAGTTATTTTACATTTAGAAAAATATTTCAAAATATAAATTGTTTTACGAATTTAAAGCAAATTTATTCTTAATTTTCAAATTTGTCCTCAATAACCGATGCTAATTATTTTTCATTTATTCTTGTTTATAATTTTTAATATAATTAATCAGGAGTAAAATAAATATTTGACACACAAATTGATCGTAGTTTTTAGTTTAAATATAAAGTGACTTTGAACGAAACGTTACCTGTGAGCTCTTGCCTAGATTTCCGTTTACTTTAAAGCCCTCGTGCTTATCACCATCTGCTTGGCCTGAGGTATATGAAAATGTTACTTGTAGTCGTTGGAATCTCGTGGACAGAAGTTAGTGGGAATATCTGGATATCACTTACAGTGGGAATGAGATGATTATTGACTTTAAAGAGGTTTATCGTCACTTTTTTTCAGTTCAGGGGAATGGAATCCATGACTCAACCAGCGAAGGTAAAGATAGTGAGGATGACGATCGCTTGGCGATTCTCTTGTACGATCCATCGACTCATGCTTCGTTAAGCAATGACGCTCCCTCGCTTCTATTCTCTATCTTTTTTCTTTCCTTTTTTTTTTTTGGAGGTTTGATTAATTTGAATTTTGAACCGAATAAAATTTTCATTGAAGCTAATTAAACAAATGGCAACAAATGTTCTAATGCGGATATGTCCATAGCCGATTTTGTGCGTGAATTATTGTTAAAATGATTTAATAGGCTTGAACCATATGTTAGATATGTTGTCACTCTCTCTTCCTTGTTGTGAGATGTTTTTCCTCACACACTCATGAATTTATTAGTCATTAAATTTGTCACTTTGCGACGACATCATATTGATTATTTCGGGTCAGAAAAAAAATATGATTCTTAATTAATTAAAGATAAAAAGTAAAATAATTGAGAAAACTTATTGAAATGAAGAAGAAATTTCCATATTGTCTTGGAAAGATTGGAATATAAATTATAGGTATATGTTATTCTCATCATTATCAACCTTTTTTTTTAACTCATTATTATCAATTTATTTGAAGTGAAACTACATGTCAACTTATATGTGTCTTAGAAAATCTATTGGGAAGTAGTGGCAACAAACTCCCATACCACTAGGCTACTAGCCACTCGTTAAAGGGCCAGCCCTACATGTCAACTTATATGTGTCTTAGAAAATCTATTGGGAAGTAGTGGCAACAAACTCCCATACAACTATGCTACTAGCCACTCGTTAAGGGGCCAGCCCGTTGGGATAGACATCCAGTTGATTTGAGTTTGGCAAGTTGAATTTGCTCTGTTTCGAGTCTTGGCGTATGATTTGAATCAATTTCCCCAAGGCAATTACTTTTTTTGGTCTTCCGTCAACTCCATTCACTCGGATTTATAAAGCACAAGATTTGATCTAACGTAGTTTTTACTTGTGTCACATATAAATAGGAAGGAATAGAATACTGTTAGCTGATAGCCTAACAAGTGTAAATATAGTTAAAATGGTACCATTGTAGATTGAAGAATAATTTACGGGCATAAGCCTTTTTAAATAAAAACAAGAAATTCGCATGGTTGGTTAATGAAAATTTAAATTTGGCAAATGATATTGCGAAGGCAAGTTTTAGCTTCTAGAGCAAAATATGTATTCCTTTACAGAAATGTCCTTTTTTAGTGAAATTTTTATTTTTATTTTAATTTTTGTTGTTCACTCCCGAATATCTCCCAATAATCTTTCCATTATTTCTCCCAAATCTCAGAATGCTCAATCCGTTTTGGTTATTTCTTTGCGGTGCTCTCCCTTGCCCCATCTCATCATGGCTTTGTGAACATCATTCCTTTTATCCCAAGCCAACAAAAACATAATTTAGCAATCGAATCGAAGTATTGAGATCTCACATCGTTGTGATTAATAGAGTTTTTCTCTACAATCTTTAGAGATAATTTAGAGTGACTTTTGTTAGGCAAGAATTAAGAGAAAAGCGTTGGATAAGTAAATCCATTGTTTTGATTTGATTCGATGGTTAATCAAAAGTGATTCAAAATTAGATATTCTGCAGTAAGATCTTGGGATTTTGATTTTGCAGGTTTTGTTAATTTTTTTTAATAGACATAGGACAGACAAATATTGAAAACTCAAAGTTTGCCGAAAAGGACTAATAATTGTCTGCATTGCTAAGGAATCCCAAGGTAGTTTCTGTTAATTTTGGCGTTATGATTAAGGGAAAGAAAAACTAAGATCACAAACTGTTTTCTTTTGTTGGAAAAAAATGACGGCATAACAGGAGAAGAGATGAAGAAGAGAGATCGGGGGTAAGAAAAAAAATTGCTTTATATATGAGGACAATTTTAGAAATGAATACAAATTTTACTCTCGAGGCTAAAAATTGGTTTGACAATATTACTTTCCTTTAAATTTCTCTCATCTCTCTCTCATCTCGTCCTCGATTCAAATTTTTTGGATCAGATCCAAACCTTTCTTATTGGACCCATTCATAATGAATAAAGGTTAAAGTTATTTTACATATACACATTATTTTTATGACATGGGCTTACTATTTAACTTTGGATTTCTTTTGAAGCTAGATCATCGCAGCATTTTATAAACAATATTAGAAATTCATACATAGGTAGTTGGAACTGCTTTTTCCATATTGAAAAGGCCATATGTAATGGTCCATGCCATATTTGAAATCTTATAATTTTAGTCATTAATAACAAAAAAAATAATAAAAAAAAGAGTACAGATTTCATGGACAATAAGAAATTATTAAAAAAAGAAACTTTATTTGACACATTTTCTCTATAAATCATTAAATAAAGAACACTATATTCGTGATAATTTATGAATATACAATTGTGCAGGTAATTTAGATACGGGAAGAAAAAAAAAACACGAGTTTTCTCATAATTCGTACAAAAAATCATATACATACCACAAACGCATTTGGAAGCACACAATATTCCAAAACTATACAAATAATACTCCGCGATAAATCACTCGAATAGTGCTTCAATTTAATTCATCATGTTCATTCTTCTTTGGAATCCATCGCTTCAATTAACGACAATCTTAAGTCTCACTCGTGCCACATAGCTACAGCTCCCAATTTCGATTTATCGACCTGATTTTCCTTCAAATGAAAGTGGTGGATAAAACATTTTTCAAATTGGTAACACCATATGAAAATTAAGTACTAATTCAAAGGACCATTCGGGTGATTTAAATCATTAACTAACACTCACTAGTGCCAGTGATCAACTTCTTTCAATAATTTGTGAAAGAGTGTTTGGAACTTCTCCATTTCCTTCATGGGCAGCGCAACCAAAACATTCACCGCATTTTTCTCCTCATCAATATCGGGAAACAGCAGAATGATATCTTTCCGGTGATGCACCACCGGACAACTATACCTCGGCTTGCCCCACGGGTACACCACGTCGGAAAACCCCAACCGCCACCACGACGAGATCAAAAACTCCCCGTGGGGGAACCCCTTGTACACCTCGCCCCAGTCGATGGCGGATCGCGCGTACTCGTCCGTCATTCGATTCGCACCCTCCGCAACCAAGGCCACCACCTTCGAAAGAGGCCCGTCTTCGAGCTCCTTACACGTGGCGGTGGCGTAAGCCGTGAGCACCGCATTCCCCGTGTAGGAACCGGGCAACGGGGGGTTTAGCCTGGACCGAATATCCACCGCGTAGAGTACGGTGGACAGTCGGTCCGGGTCGTCACCCCCGAATGACAAGGCCTTGCATCTCCAAATATGTGATGTAACAACGTTAAAGCTCGTGATCTTAATGTTATTATCCCCGGTCGAAACCGGGTCGGGTTTTGCCTTCTCTCTCAAGGAATTGACGTCATCTGAGCTGAGTTTGAATATTTTAAGGTCGAGTTCTTCTTCCGGGCAGTCGAAAACCGGAAGGTTTTGATCTTCTTCGCCGATTGGGATCTTGAGTTTGAGTAATTCGGGATGTGGGAAGGTGACACGTGGAGGGTTCCTTGCTGCCAGTAAGGTTCGATCGTTAGCTGGGGTAATAGCCAAGGGTTTGTTGTCATCAAAGGCTTGGGAGGCCAAATTTTGAAGGAAAATTTTGAAACTTAAACCATCAAACGTGCAATGGTTGTTGGAAATTCCCACCGCAAAACCTCCACACTTGAACGACGTGAGCTGCATGCATGAGGGAAAAAAAAAAAAAAACAGGTGCCGCAAAATCACAACATTAATTTTCGGTGAAATTAAATACTAGTATGGAATGAAAAGGGATCATAAGTAGTTGAGCTATATATTACTCCCTCCGTCCTTAAAAAAAATAGTCCACATTAAGTTTTAAATTTTGTACTATTTTTAGTACAAATTTGAAAACTCAATGTGAACTATTTTTTTAGGACAGAGGCAGTAACTAGTATGGAAAAACGTTTGGTAGTACTCCCTCCGTCCCATAATTATTGTCCAGTTTAGATTTACATTTTTAGTTCAAATTGTACTAAAAGTGAAATTTTAAATTGGACAATAATTTTGGGACAGGGGATTATAAGTTTCTTGAAAGATCTAGGAGCCAAATCTAACTAGATTGTGTTATGTGTATCACGGGTTTATAACATGGATCTTTGTTTTTTGTGTGATTACTACAGACATGCTACCACCAAAAAAAAAAAAAAAAAAGAAGTTATACGTACAGAGTGATTCACAACAAGTTTAACCAAAAGAGTCAACCACAATTCATTTATCGATCTTATAGAACTACCTTTCCCAACCTTTTTGAGTGATTAATTAGCTTGACGTGACTTTAGATACTGGGTGTGTACTATAAAACAAAAACAGATTTGAGTGATTTACTTAATTAAGCCACATGTGAGGTCGGAAAACGAAATAAATGCAAAGAAGTACCATCATTTTCGAACAATCTGTAAATCAACTAATGCGCGCGCGGCCAGTTAATGTGTCTCACTATAATGACCACATTATGATAACTATACATTTATTATTCATATACAGCTGGAAACAACCGTAAATTACCAGGGACTTATAATGAAATTATTAGAAAGGCAAACTACAATTTACCCTCGAGTTTTGGCTAGTTCTACTGTAAACCCTCGAATTCAGATAATACTATCAAACACTTTCTTGACTAATAGTTTACTTTCCAAATGTCTCCTTATAACATACAAACATCATCATCAATTTAGTATAGGAAAAATACCCTTCAATCTATATTTTTTTAAAATTTATACAATTTAAATAATATTAAATATATCATAACTTAACTTAAAAATTACTATGTATTAATTTATTTATATTAATAAGTTTTTGAAACTAATCATAAAATTTATTTTTCATGAATAAAAATAATTTTTTTAAAATTAACTATATCATTTCTGTTGAAATAAAGTATCTTCTTTACTTAACTTATATTATTAATCATGGATTAAATTATATTAAAATTTAAATGTGCAAATGAAAAATTAAATAATTTTCTTTTTTAATGGTAAAAAAAAGTCCGAGAAAAAGAAAAAAATGATACTATGGTTATTTTAGACATTTATATGTTAACCACTGCTTAGAGAGTATAGTATTATAAAAGCTTTAAGAGTTTATAGTATATCAGACCAAAACTAGGGATAAATTGTAGTTCGCCCGTTTTAGAAACTTCATTATTCTGTATATGCACCAATAAAAGAAAAGTCCCCATTTATTTTGTTTTCCATTTCAAGTTTTCAACTCATCAACGTTCCTTTCCCTGTCAAACACACTTGGTTAAAAGATATAGTTAAGTAGCAAAACGGGTTGGATACACAATTAAGGCATTTATATACTCTTTTTGTCCCCAAAATAATTTTAATGTTTATATATTCGACAAACAGGACAAAATATTTTTAGGATAGGGAAAATGTCACATTTAATCGTTTTTATATCCTGATTCTACTTGCATTTTACATACAAATTAACATTTTTTTTCTTTGCAATATCAATATCAATACCGCCATGCGAAATGTAATTAGTAGTAACGGAAAAATATCCAAAAAAAGAAAAGTAGTAACGGAAATATACCTGAACGGTACAAAGTGGCTGATCTCCAGCTTCCACATTGTCCAATTTCTGTACTACAAGCTGTCCAAATGCCGGATTCGGATACACCAAATCTCCGATATCATCAAGCGAATAATCACTTGAAGCCACGCAATAAACAACCCCTTGACCGTTGCACTCGATCTCCAACCGGCCGGATTCTTGGTTCAGCTTCAGCCGTCCGGCCATGAAATCGTAAGACACCAACACTTTACTCAGCGCCGTTTTCAGCTTCTCGGCCACGACATCTGGCGGGAATTCCGGGTTTGCCGGGAAGAAGTCGACGGTTTGAACATAGAAATTGAGGACTTGATCAATGTTTGACAAGAACATGAACCTCTTTTCGGTTTTCTTGGCCGGAAAAACCACACTGGTGTCTTGAATGGTGACCTTAAGGTCACGTACTATGGATGAAGCAGGAGGGGATTGGTAAAGGGTTCCCATTGGGTTTTTTTTTTTCTTTTTTTTTTTTTTGGCTAAAAGGGAATGTTAATCCTTAATTACAAGTAAAAGAAAATGTGGTTTTTGTGTGTGTTATAAGATGATATTGAGGAGCTTTCTGGTTTTAGGCCGTATGTATTTATAGTAAAACAAAGCTACGGGATTAAGCCGAGGGAAAAAAAAAAGAACTAAAATGACATGTGGTAGCTGATAGCCAGTTTGAGTTTGGGACACTTGACAAGGTTAGATTTTTATTTTTCTACTAGTTTGGACATACTTGCTAGCTTACAAGCTTCTTCATTAATGGTGCATGCTAAGGGCTAACGGTCCCAATCCAAAATTTTTGCTGGGTTGGTGTTCTTTGAGTTTTTTTTTTTTTTATAAGATCTTGATTTCTCTTCGTCTATATAGTTTTTAAATTTTAACCTTCAGTAACAATAATTAATTCATTTACTGAATTGTAAACAAACATCCTCAAAGGGTGATAATTGGCCAGGGTTTTCTCAAACGACTCAACTTATTGTTGACAGTACTATAGTCTATTCTGTGCATGCACTTTGTTATTTTTGACATATAAAAATTGATATTTTTTTTGTTCTATAAAACGACTATCATAGTTGTTATATACCGAAAGGGATGGAGTAAGAGTGAGACGATGAACCGATATTTAACGTCCGTAGGAGTACAATTCGAGTAAGGGCATAAAAGAATGTATCATTGTACTGTGGTATTGTTGTTCCCTTAAGCTAGCCATTGGAATCGATCGGTATATGACATTGGTAGGGTAAAGAAATGTATGATTCAGTATACGAAATGTTTACACCATACTAGTAATGAGTAATAATGTAATATACAAAACAAACCTCGTCCATTCAATTTCAACTCACAAGTTTGACGATTTTATATTCAGAAGAAAATGACCCAAGCTCTTTTCCAACTAGTTGCCGTAGGGTAATAGACAGAACTCCTATTTAGTGATAGGAAAAAAGGTATGGCTTGTTTGGCCAAGTCTCAATTTGCCATTTTGTCTCATTTTACCTCTTAAAACACCTCTCAAATACAAAACTCAATACTATCCAAACAATTTTTTAATTTACTTTTTAAAATTTATTTCAAACATTATTTTTACACCATATTTTTACCACCACCGGATCACCTCCGCCGCCACCGTCCGCCGCCCACCGCCGGGCCGCCGGACCGCCACCGGCCAGCCGGAATTTGGCCAGAATCCAGCTGGCCGGTCGCCGTCTGGCAGCGGTCCAGCGGTGGCGATGGGTGGTCCGGTAACGGAGCCGGTGGTGGAGGTGGTTTAAAAATTTAATTATTTTATTTAAAATATTACCCAAATAAATTTTTAAATTTTCTTTTAAATCACATTTTAAATCATATCTCAAAATCAAATAAAAAAACTAAAACAAAAACAAAAACAAAATATTGGCCAAATAAGCCCGTAATATTTTGCTACTAGAGCCACGCTAGGAAAAATAAAAAATTAAACATACGAGATATTTAATTTCCGCAAAAGAAAATCGAGTTAAAATCAGTACTACGTACTACCAATCATGATATGACTTACGCCAATTCATGCATGGGCAGCATAGCCGTGACTATGACGATATATGCAACTTAGTTGAAAAATTAATTGACCAATGCTGCAGTTACCTATAGCTAGGTAGCTTATTGAATTGGTCAAGTGGTTGGGATAATTAATTTGGAATTCATCAAGAAGTCCGTAATGCAAGCCAATATCCAAAAAAATGCAAAGGTTTCTAGTGTATAATTAAAATGTTCATGATTTCCACTAATTTCATTTTGAAGAAAATTTTTCTAATAAATATGGAAAAAGTACGAGGAACTTATCTCTACTGAAATAATCCATTATAAAGTTTTCAATTTCAGCCTTCATAGAATCAATCCGACTAGTTGGACTGGTTTGGATTTTTGATTTTATATTTGTTTTTCCCTTCTTCTCCTTCTCGGAACAACAGGTTTTCAATCATTTTACATTTTGTTCCTCCCAAATGCTTAGTAAAGTTACTTTTTAATTGTTTCGTCACAGTTTATAATTTCTATAATTATTTGTGATAATGTAAATGTAAACTCTATAATGTAGATGGACGTGGACAGGGTGATGGACAGCCAACTGCACTTAAATGAGAAATTAATACCAACATGACAGATGCTGCTAATTTCGCTGCCTCTTATAATTAAATTCATGAGTACAAAGCAAGTTCTTCTTCTTCCTTTTTTTTTTTTTTTTTAAACCGCCAATTAATTGATTGGGGCAATCACGACCCGAAAAATAGAGACACACCCAAAAATATGCTAAATACTATTTCCCCTCTAAAATAAATAAAAATATTATTGTGTTAAAATGATTCAACAAAAATAACACTCCTTTAGGAAACAGGAGGACATTTATTAATTGCATAACATGATGTTCTTTCGATATGCTAACATAAAATCAAAGCAACCTCTTGTGAATTTCTTTTCTTTTTTTATTTTCCCCTTCAACACACATATAATTTAAATAGTTTAATCAACTGAAAGATTAATATGGGACGAAACATTACATAATTGCACATGACGTTTTTCGATGTGGTTCCCATAGAAAAAGAACACAAATTAACAAGCTCTTGCGAGTTTTCTTTTCCTTTACTTCACTGTACATAAGGACTTCACATCTATATTCGGTCCATAGGTTTTTAAGGCCACACTAAAAAATGCCGTTTCTTGTAGATGAGCTACCCTAATTAATGCAACTAAAACCACAAAATGAGAGACATACATGGGGTTTAAGTCCCTTAAGGACACACAATACAACTATATATGTATAATTTTTTTTAGTATTTTTTATTTCTTTTGGGGATGGGAAAAAAACCAAAGTTGGTCCTGATTAAACGTTTCAACATTTCAACATCAGTGGAGAGTGGAACGCATCATCCCTCTATCTATTGCTTTCTTCATTATAAAGCTATCCCTACTCGTCACATGCATGTTCTTTATTACATTCTCTTCTCCATAAGGGCCATATCTCTCAACTTAATTTTGCGGTTTTGAGGTTTTTCGACCACTTTGACGTTGAATAACCCTAAATATGTGGTCTGTAAAATATTGTTTCGGGATACATGTCATACTAGCTAGCTCCTTGGTTTCTTGAGTAATGAGGGACATGTGGAGTGTGGAAATAGTACTAAAAAAATGACAATAGCAATTAAATCCGTGAGGAACGCTGATCACCACATTGTGTGAGGCATAATTCATTTGTACTAAACTACACTGTAATATGGTTCAGTTTGAGATTTCACTTTTGATACAATTTGAATTAAAAAGAAAATTCAAACTGAATAATAATTTTGAGACGGGAAGATTAATTACTAAAAAAAGAGCGAGGTGGTAATGGAAGGTAAATTGTAACCATATGGAAGTCAATATCAGTGACAGAATGAGAATTTCATAAAACATATTTCAAATTTTGAAGATTAACTTATACAATATCACCCAAGGTTTCGGAAACATTCGTTCTTTCGCATTTCCTACTGAGATCCCAAGTCTCGCTTATTCACAAATTTGGTGTGGGTCTAATATGGAGCAATTGCGCCTACATTTTTCTCCAGTTGGCTTTGTCACTGTCGAGGTTGAGAGCAAACCCAAAATAATTATTAAGTAAGGAACAAGAAAAAATAAAGAAACAGAAAAATATTAGTGAGTTTTTCTTTTCCTAAATGCAACCCTATTTTTGTTTCACAGAAAAGTTAATCATTCACCAAATTTATTACGTTAGAAAAATATTGAATGGTATATTTATTAACTGAATACTTATACAGTTATACTGACTTAGTAGGTAACTGATATTAAAGCCATAGCTATAGCTGGTAAAATTTGCCAGTTTCATTAGTACATCTGAAGATATTGGTGGGGGAGGGAATTGTCACTCTTGAAACAGAAATGGTGAAAAAAGATTCAAAAGCGTAGGTCAATTTTCCTGACAAAGTTTAATTGTAAATTTTGTACTCGTCAGTGTTTCAATAATTGTGAACAACAACATATATAGTAAGAATTCTCAGGTGAAGTAATACAGATCAATGAAATGGACTACTGGTCAAACTTATTTGCAGTCTGGAACTGGCGCCAAAAAGGAAAAAAAAAAAAAAAGTTTTCAGGCTAAAAGAGTACGTGTGGCTGGATAACCACGACGTTCAGGTTAGCCATTAAGGTGTGTAGATGTGACACCATTATGATATTGTAGGAATACGCTATTATTACTATTCCTTTAAATGGATGTGAGTTTATTTTTATTTTTTTTTTAAGATACATTATACTATAAGTAAAATTTCTGAAAAATTAGCCGATCTACTCAAAGGTTGACATGCATTGTCAATTCTATCATATTCTTTTTCTGTTAGCTAATATTACCTTAAACTATTCAACCGTTAGCCGATTTTGTCCGATTTGCCAATTTCCGTTTAAATTGACAGAATTTTGTTAGTTTAATTACGAAAATACCCTAATAATTTTAAAAATTATAAAAATAACCCTAAAAATTTGTAAAACTAGCAAATAAATCTCTTTTCAGTTTTATTTTAATTTTTCTGTTTTTTATTTCTTTTTACTATTTTTTGTAACTATAAAAATATATTATATGATCATTTTTAAAAAAATATTTATGTTTAACTCTATTGTACAAATTTATAGTTATATATTTGTAAGTCGTGTTTGATTTACATAAACATATTAATTTTTTAATAATATAGTTTAACAGCAATGATACATTTTTTTAATCTATTTTTTTCAATCTACAAAATAAGATTATTTAACTAAAACTAATTTTGCACCAAAATAAAAACATTTAGCGTAGATTAAAATATTTTTATTGGTATACTTTAATGTATTACAATTTAATTCAACAGAATTTACATTATATTGTAAAATTAAAAAAATAATTAAACTAAAATATAAATTTTCTTTAAAAGGCCAAGTACGAAGAGAAAGTAAAAAAAAAAAACAAAATGGAACAAACTATTTAATAAAAAATATGTATATTTATCATTGCGAGGGTTTAACATTTCGTGATAATTTTTTGAGATATTAACATATCTAACTTTAGCAGGAAGTTTTTTTTTAATAAAAAAACCAAGAAAATCTACTTGAGTACTGGACTTTACCTTTTTTTTTTTAAAAAAAAAAAGAGATTTTTCCTGTGAGAATTGAGGCCTCGAACACAATAATAATCATCTCACATCTTAAATCACCTGACCATCCAACTCAACCCTCTCACCTTTAGTAGACCATACTTAAATATGGACAAAATCACTCTTAGAAATTCTTTGGTGAAAATTAATCTTAAATCTACTCTCATGAAGCTCAACACCCTAAACACTAGATTGTAATATATATTTTAGTTTAATTATTTTTTGAATTGGATAATATAATTTATAGTCTGTTTAATTAATTTGTAATAAATTAAAATGTACTAATATATTAATTTTTACTTTATGCTAAATGTTTTAATTTTTCATAAAAAAATTAGTTTTTAGTCAAAAAATCTTATTCTTTAAAGTGAAAAAGGATTAAAAAAATTATATCATTATTGTCAAGTTATATTATTAAAAAATTAATATGTTTATGTAAATCAACCATGAGTTACAAATATGCATATCTATAAATTTGCACAGTAGTATTTAAAGATAAATAGTTTTTTTTTATAGATCATATAATGTATTTTTATAGTTATGAGAAATAGTAAAAAGAAATAGAAAACAGAAAAAATTAAATAAAAAGTGTAAAAAGACTATTTGGTTATTTTTACAAGCTTTTGGGATTATTTTTATAATTTTCAAAACTATTAGTTTTTATAATTAAAACTAACAAAATTCTATTAATTTAAATGGAAATTGGCAAATTGAACAAAATTGGCTAACGGTTGAATAGCTCCTATATATTGGCTAACCGAAAAAGAATATAGTAGAATTGACAACGCATGTCAACTTTTAGGTGGATTGGTCAATTCTTCCGTAAAATTTCAAACAAGACAATTAGTTTTTAATCGAGGGAGTATATCTCTATAACATATGGTAAACATAATAAATTTGATTGGACTCTTGGAGAGGTACTAGTATGGAGTTCTACATTATTTGTCTGAATAACTTCTGCTCACAATCTTATCTAATACTACGCTCATGTCGGAGTGGTTGAATTTCTGAGGTTTTGGAGAGTGACTTTGAATTATTATCCGGCCAAATATCTGTGATTTGATCAAAGCGGAATTGGATGCTTCTGCTGCTCGTTTGCTTTGAGAGAAGCTATAGAAGAAAAAAAAAAAAAACTATTCTCTCTCCTATAATTATTATCCAGTTTAAATTTTTATTTCTAGTTCAAATTGTACTAAAAGTGAAATCTCAAACTGGACAATACTTTTGGAACAGAGGGAGTGGAAAAAAGAAGAGTTTATGATATGGACTTCTGTGCCGTAACCAAAAATAATTACCGAACACCATTCAACGAACATTAATTTTTGAAACCATCCACCCCAACCATATTTCTTAACTATATCACTGTATCTCGAATTCAAGAAATAATGTGCTGCAAGACCCACAAAGAATCAAGAATTAATGCACTCCGCATCACAAATGACAGGAAAATAAAATCTATTTTATCGAGACATTTGATACATTTACAATAAACGCAAGGACTGGTCGAGTCACAGATATGCTTGTTTCAACGGGAGCATAATCTTTATGCCACACCATCGCAGCTGACACTTTGCAGATTGGTGGCTTTCTGCCGATCAATAAGGCAGTTAAAGAAACTAATTGCAAACCTAAAAAACGACTACGGGTAAGTAAACTTGGGAAACTGGCTCTTGTGAATTTGAACAAAGATAAGGGATATGGTTAACTGCAGTTGTATCCCAAAGTTTTCAACCATAAAGGATTAGTATGACATTATTAACAGCTGATAACATCGTCTTCTTTTGGACTGGCATTCTCTAGAGCAGCCTTTTTTGCAACCCTTCTTTTGCTTTGGATCTGGCGAACGTATTCTGCAACTATGACATGGAACTTTGGAGCGAGCTTACTCGTCGAAGAAACAGTAAGACCAGCCTTTTTAAGAGCCCTTCCAACTTGCTTTTCAGCCTTCTGATAATGAGCAGTGCAGTACGAAGGAACAATGGACCTCAGTATTGGCTTACCACACAAGATCGGTCCCGTGGGCGAACTGTTCAGGAGAAAATCAAAAGACATGAGAAGGAGCACAAACACTTAAAGATGATTGAGATCTTGCTGCAAGCTTATTTCACAGACAAGTGTCAACCAGGCCATGTTCCAGACAGTACCCAATCTTGTCAAACTGTGATCTGGTCAACACTTGTAGCGGTGAGAACAACCACAGACAGCAAGCAAATGCATGTCTAATAGAACAGAACAGTAGCAACAGCAGTGGCAAAACACAAGAAAAAACAACATTTTAAGGGCACAAATGAAGATCTGGAAATGATAATGCACAAAATTCGAACCATCAAGGAAGTACTTCAACATTGTCGCCTTGGATGTGATGATACACAACTCTACAAACCAGACATCTTTAAGGACAACAAGACAGATATCAGAGTACAAAAAAATATTAAAGAATTAACTCATTCAGCTCAAGTTCCTACCATGATGAACTCAAATGCAAGCTTTCATACCCTTCCCCAGTGTTATAAAACACAGTCTCAAACACAAAGGTAATAAAGTCAAAACAAAATGGACAAAAAATCCCCGTTTTGGTCTCTAATGTTTGGGGGGTAGCCTGACCGAATCACCATTAATTTTTCTTCACCTAAATTAGTCCCCAAAAAGTTTATTTTTGCCCATTTTCATCTTTTTAACGGATTTGAGAAGAATTTTAACGGAAAATTCCATCACCCCGTCAATAGTTATATATTTTATTATTTTCTTAATAACTGTGGGTCCCACTGATCTTTAACCCAAAAAAAAAAGTAGTAATAGACAAAAATACTCCTTCCTCCTCACGCAGCCGCCGCCTCCACCTCCATTGTTCATTATCATCGTTAACATCAACACCATTGTCGTTCAATTCCAAAGACAGAAAGTCAAAGAAGAAAGAAAGCCATGGAGAGAGAATTTCTTTTGATGTTTGAGAGGGCAGAGAAAGCTGCCCAAGTCGCCGCTGCAAAACCCGGCGAGTCGCCTGCAGAGGAGATCTGTGTTGCCGCTCTGTAACTTCTTAAAGGATTTCTCGGTTACCCATGCTCTCCTGAAGTCAGCCATGGCCGGAAATCGCGTCGGACTATTACTGAGCTCAAACCAGCATCCGAGCAATACAATTCGATTGGCTTTATCTGAATTAAAGAAGATGTGGAAGAAAACACTAGAATCATCCAATAGGGAGGGAAACAAGAATAATAATACTAATGATGATGTTAATGATCATGGCGGCATTACTTCTGTCCAGGTAGAAACTGGGTCAAACAATAATAACTCAGAGAGGGATGAGAGTATGGCGGAGGTCAAACAGTCGATTTTGCTTCTTTATAAAAAGGCAACGGTGGCTGCAAAATACGTCGCCGGAGATTATTGTTCACCGGAGTTGCTGAGGTGTCTTGATGCCCTGAAACGACTGAAGGAATTACCCTGTGATGTCGTGGGGGCAACCATAGGAAGGAATGGTTAATTTGGAGCATCTGAAGAGTTTAAGAAAGCATCAGAGTAAGAGCATTCAGTCGGTTTCATCTGATATGCTTAAGACGTGGTTTGGGAAGTTGGCTCAAGAACAACGCAATAAAAAGGACAATAACCATCATCATGGCGAAAATACCACCGTGGTTCACGACAATGGTGTTGATGTTGACGATGATAATGAACAATGGGGGTGGAGGCGGTGGCCGCGTGAGGAGGAGGAAGGAGTATTTTTCTTTATTACTACTTTTTTTTGGGGGTTAAAGATCAGTGGGACCCACAGTTATTGACAAAAATAAAACATATAACTATTGACGGGGTGATGGAATTTTCCGTTAAATTCTTCTAAAATCCGTTAAAAAGATGAAAATGGGCAAAAATAAACTTTTTGGGGACTAATTTAGGTGAAGAAAAATTAATGGTGATTCGGTCGGGCTACCCCCCAAACATTAGGGACCAAAACGGGGATTTGTCCAAACAAAATTACTTCCTTTTCACCAATTCAAAATAAAACTCCAAATTGATAAAGAAGTCTAGCAGATTGTTTCACCAGTTTGGCCAATGGTTTTACAGGGTACACCCCAAGTGAGAGATGCTAAATCCGGAATCAAGATGGAAAATCTCCCGGACTCTGATTTAAAACTCTCTGGATTCATTCCATGAGGGCAGGAGAAGAAGAAATAATGGATGATAATAATAGGACAAGCTTAAATACCCATCCACATGCCGAAATAAATCCATATCAACCTAAATCCTCCAGGGGGAAAAAAAAAAAGCCACCCTACGGTGGATGTGATCAGTATTTTGAACCTCTTCAAAAGAGCAAAAAACTTTTCGAGCCTAAATCACAGGACCTCAAGACTAAGCAGGCTCCCAAAATCACTTATATTACCACGTGACATCATTGAGTCCCAAAATATGCAACTTTTCTGAGATTTATTTTAAATTTTATTGCTCAATAGTAGGAGAAGTATCAACAGAAAGGAACTTAATAATCTGAAATACTCCACAGTGCACCACTAGGCACAAGCTACTCAGAGTTGGGGAATTGCGATGGTTACAGCTACAAAGCCAGCTACAGAAAAAATTAATTAAAAAATAAATAAAATAAAAAAGAAGAAGAAAAAAAGAAAGAGAGAAAGTTTCATCAAAGTGGTTTATTAGATCCAAGAAACTGAGATCTCAAGGTGACTACCATAAAGTTATTCTTTCCATGGCTGAGTCCTTTTAAGTGGAATTTAGTTACTCAAAGAAGGTAGGTAAAGAAGATGAGTAGCTCTAACCTGCAACTTCCTCAGTTTCATTACAGTTTACTGGACACTTTGATGTTTCACAAAGTAAAACTGGCAGCTGCAGTCTAAGAGATTATTGACAGAAATTGGAAAGACAAATGACTCAAACCCAACCCATGCACACGCTTACTTTTAAGGGTAACTCCAAAAAAAAGGTAGCAAATAAATTTCAAAGGCTAATGTAATAGGCTACTATCACTAAGAATTTCATGGTCTAAACATCAAAGGATCATGTAAAATACATACACAGTAAGGAGTTAATAGAGACCAGAACTAAGCTGTGGTACTCAACTCAGAATGGTACATCATGACAGCAAAGTGGTAAATTTACGACCTGAAGCTCTTCTTCAGTGCCACTTAAAGATTTCCAAGTCATAGTATAACCTGATTGTACTCAGCCAACCTAAACCACAGACCAGCTCTTCTTGCTAGAAACAATCGCACTACTACTTATTGAATTCAGCTTTCTTACCCAATTCAACCAGAGAAAAAAACAAGTGCCTATATAACCAAAGGTAGAACTGAGTAACACCATCTTCAAGTTTCTTTTTTCCACTTTCTGATTCTGAATGAACACTTTTACTCGCACAACCTTCTATAAAGCTGATCATCATGATTTGCTATTCCGACATAAAGACATGATAAATTCAGAAATCAATAAACCCTTGGATGAGACCAGGGCTTCCAATATTTAATAAATCCATCTCAACAAACACCAGGTGTGGTTTCTCCTTGCTTTGCCCTTCCAGTTATAACCCTACACTAACTCTTCCAGATTCACAGAAGTAGATGACACGATCACTAACACGTCATCCTTTATGAACCAACGCCTACATCAACCTCCGAAGTATCAACAGAACATTTTAAATAAACTAAATCCCGAACATCCATAACTACACCACATCTCAAAACATAAAGTACAATCAGATTCATTGGGACTAACTACGAAAATACGCACACGCCAGCCCATCAGCGAAGCTATCATAACCTTGGAGACATCAAGGTAATGCTAAATAACAGAAAAATCAAGATAAAGAAGACCTCTAAGCTTCTTTATCTGTCTTTATAAACAAAATTGCATCTCTGAAATAAATTTTCTGAAGGACGGCAATTTGCCATCACAATTAATGCACACTAAAAGACAAGCAGAAATACTCTTAAAGGATTGTGTTTGTATCAACAAATTTGTCCAAACAAAACACAAAGCTAAGTAGATCCATCTTTGAACTACCACATCCTAACAAATGTACTATAGGTCTAGTCGTAATAGATGAACATTGCCAAACTGTTTTTCCATCTTCTGAGTTATTTGCACTCTTTTTAACCACATGTCTGGGGGACGAAAGAACAAGAAGATGTATTCTTTTTTAACAAACAAACAAGTTAATATTTTCTGTTACCATTTCCTTTAAGCATAATAAAAAACCTACTAGATATAGTAGTAGTGGTTTCTAGGACTAGTTTCAGTATGTTGAGTTCTACATGGCCTAATTTCGCATTCACGCAGTAAAAGGGTATCCAGTTCAATTTGATCTAAAAAGCCCCTGACCTGCAGCCTACAAGGGAAAGGAAAATCTAGAATCCCTAGACACAGCGATCATTACAGCATGTAAATCCCTTAACGCGAAAAATTCATAACTTTGATTCTACCAATCACAAAGAATGATACTTTGATATTTCCTCAATATTTGCATCGCCAACAGAGATTACAAAGGCAACAGAATAGCTCCAACTTTAGGTTAAAGTTTCCACTATATTTGAGGTCAGTTACAATTTAATGCCTATGATGCAACCCACGCCATGAATAACATATATATATACACAAGCATACCATTAAATCTTTTAACACCAGATCGAAAATTCTATTAAAAAATATCACCTATTGGCTCAATACTCCGATTCATAAGTACCTTAGTTAACAAAGCAGAAATTGCAATAACTGGGAAATGCAGGTGAAGAACATTTAGCACTAGCACATCAAGAAAAATTTACAAACACGCCTAGACATTAACAAGATGATAAACGGCAAACCTTTTAATGGCATAATTGCAAGGCTTGTAGAGTTTCTGTTTGGCGTCGGACAAAATATGCATCTGGCAGAATTTGGTCAAAGCCATCGCCTTTGATTTACAGCCATGAACCCCGCACCTATTTGCCCCTCCATTGGAAAAAATACGATTAGTATCCGGGTTTTCATGGAAACTGGCCTCCCCGTTTTCGCTCTTAACACCGGCAATCGTATTGTTATTATTACTGCTATTATTGTTGTGCTCATCGTCTTCTTGATAAGGGCTTTTTCCGTACTCCCAAATATACTCCCGGTGCTTATACTTCAATTCTTCCATCATTGACCAAAAAAGTTCCCGAAAGATCTTGGAAAGTTGCCTCAACCGGCGGACCCGGCGTTTCAGTACCTCCTGTTGGGTCAATACCTCGGACTTGGATAGCCTCTCGTCCTCTTCCAACCCATCCATTACCAGTGGCAACGGCGCGGAGGTAGATGCAGGGGGCCGCTGGTTTGGATGGTGATTACTATCAAGGGGAGTTTGGTCCGGCATGGTGAAGTCGTCGTAGGCCTTCCGATGGTAAAAATGAGTGATTCCAGTTGAATTTCTTGAGGGGTTTTGGTCGAAAGGTGGCTGCCGTTTGGAATACGGCAGCGTCTGCTGCACTGATGGATATCGCAGCGGTGGTGGACTTGCGGTGGCGCAGCCAACTGGGAGGGGCAAAAGGGCGGAAGAAAGTCGGCTTCTGTACGAAATCGGTGTTTCTGGTCTGTTAGTAATATTGAAATAGTATGTGACGGCGTGCTGTTAACTGTTACCAAATTTTAGCAATATTCTTCGTTTCAATTTTTAACCGTCACTTGTGGCGCAAAACAAAGGAAATTGTACTATGTTTTTTTTCTAAAAAAACTGGATTGTTAGCAGTCGAGCGTTGCGGAACCAATTTGTATTTTTAGTATTTATTTTAAATAAATATAAGTACTGAATTCGTAAAAAGTTTATCATAATATTTCAAATAATATTTTGATTATCATGGAAAGTTTTTTCCATCATACTTAGTTTATCGTGAAATAAGTCCTATATTTATCCCTATTAATAATATTATGATGTGAAAGTTTTTTAAACTTTTAACTTATTTTTCATTATCAATTAATAATGATTCTGTTGTTAGATGCGCTACCACTAATCATTATCATTATATATATTAAAGGAAAGAAAGATAATTGACACGTGTTAATTGAGACCATCAAGCATCACTTTTAACTTATTATCATTTTGGTCTTTAAAGTTCTATTTATTTGTTACTTTGTCTTCAATTTTATCGATTTTACATTTTCAAGAACGATTAATTGTATCTAATCCCCAAAGTCTCCTTGCTTATAAATAAGCCATAGGCGTCTGGACATAATTTACGCATTTTTTAATATATTTTTTAATCCAAACATAACATTAATTAGTGGTGATAATTTTTATTATACAACTTTTCAAAATTTTTGTTGTAATATTTTTGGCCAGATCTTACAAATATACATCTCATAAATAATATCAATACCTCTCATTTTGATCTAAAATTGATTAATCAAAAAAATTTTACGGATTTAAGAAATATTAATAACTACATTATCTAATTAATTCTTTAGGAAGATAAATTTTCAACATTAACACATACTAGTTTATTAAATTTATTTTTAGCGTAAAATTTATGTCAATGTTTTAAATTTTAATTTGCTGGTTGTTGTCTAACACATTCTCAAATGATGCTGAAGATTTTACTCCATCCGTCTCATAATTATTGTCCAGTTTGAGTTTTTATTTTTAGTTCAAATTGTACTAAAAATAAAATTTCGAACTGGATAATAATTTTGAGACAGAGGGAGTAGCAATGAAGACGTGTGTTCTTGCATGGTGCTTGCTTTCTCTTATAGAGCGTAACAAATATTTGAACCTTCACAAATAAGCCACAAACACAAGGTAAACTTTTTTTCCCCTTTTTCTCGTACAACCAAACAGGTTAAAACAAGAACTCATTCATCAAAACATCAAATGAGAAAAACCCGTATGATCTCATTAAAAATAAAACCTTATTTTAAATCAATACAATATCAACAACATCATATCATCACAGAGACAAAGTTCAGCACCACAAAAGCAACAGCTAATGTTGTTCATCATATGTAAACGAAAATATAATGAGTCACAACCTAATTAATGTATCCAAAACAAAATGAAATAAACAAGCAAACACAATACTAAGCAGACACGGAAGCTATAAAGTTATACTTCTGGAAATCTAACACGGATCCGGATGGATCGATACGTCCCGGCACCTGTTGAGCCTGCCGCTTATGCCGTTCTGCTCCATTGTTTGGAAGGTTGTGTTGTTTCGAAGGATCTTTTGATTAACCTCTTCTCCAACAATAGAAGCAACAATATTGTTCATTAATGTGCCTCTATCACGGGATTTAGATTTTCATCTACATATCCAATGCAGAGCTCATTTAGCCTTTTGAATGCAGAATCCAAATCATAGCCATATTATTCTAATGCATTTTCACTGAGCTTATCCTCCCTTTTCGAAAAAACAACCTTGACCTTGAGTTTATCAATAAAAACAATCGGTGCAAACACCGACCATAGCTGAGAAAAATGAGCTGAAAAGCAATGTTCTTCAGTCTAGTCTATCCCCCAAAAAAAAAAAAAAAAAAAATTCTTTACGTTATAGCAGACATCATCGAATTTACATCTTTGACAAAAAAATTTTAATTTTAAAACATACTAAAAAGAAAAGTGAAGAAGAGTTTTATAGAGAATGCATTAGAGTATACCAGGGAACTGAAAGATCAAATCCGATATTTATCAAATCAAGACCCACTTTGACACACTTAGACTTGCTAGCATTTTCTTCTGTCATAGCAGCCACTTTTTCCCCATCGCAAGTGCATCTTCCTTCGCCAGTGGTATGCCTTAAAAAGGCTTCTTCATGATGCTCATCAATATCTTGTCATACCATGACGCAGCACCAAACGTAGTGGTTAAGAAATCAGAACTTAGGCCGATTAAAGAGTAGTATGTAGCGGAAAATCAATAGAAAACTATAAGAAATAAGGGTAACAATAATAGGAAAACAGGGATAATCAGTAAGAAGAAGAAGAAAACCTAAGAATCACGCTTAGGGCCCTCTGGCGTCACAGCGCAGGATTTCTAGGTATCACACCAGGCATCACACCAAGGCCAAGGGTTTAGTTGAGTCACACAACTGTTGTTGAAAGCAAAAACTCATAAGAATTTTTATTAATCTGATAACTGTCTAAAACCCTCAAACGAGATACATATATATATTCCTAAACCAGCAGCAAATAAGTAATTAAATATTAGCTTCCTAAATCTAAATTTATTTTGACGACCTGAACACTTAATCCATAAGGAAATTAAACTAAATACTAATAATAGGAAACCAGAAAAAGCCTGCAACCTAGTAGAATTACTGAAGTACCCTTATTCTACAATAACCAAATATAACTAAATAAATTCTTGCATATTGTAAGTATTAGTGATTAAGCTAACCAAAGGTCTCATACTTTAGTTTCCTCCTCGGATCATGATGATCCTGTGTATAAATATGAAAGAACCTACTAATAGGGTTCTTCTACCATTCCTTGTCCCCATCATACCAGTTTAGAGCTTGCAATTTATTTCCACCTCCTTACTCATCTTCTGCATCGATCTATCTACGCATCCAAATCAGTGTTTTCGTCTTCTCCATCATAACCTCAAAATGCTCGTGAAGTAAACATGGTTGCTTTCTTGTGCCAAAGGATGCAGCAAAATATTCTGGAGAGTTCTCATCGATCTCAAAGTCCTCATCCTCAAACATTGTTGAAAATTAGGAGATTCTCATAATCTCATCTAGGAGTCCCTTCTTCTTCTTGAAACTTTCTTATTAGCATCATCATAACCCCCTTAACATCTTCATTCTCATTCTCGGGAGTTTTCTCTAAATTGCAATTCTTGATTCACCTTTTTTTTTCGGATTTTTCCTGGTTTCACTTTCCTCTGCGATCTTTTTATCCCGATTTATTTGACCAATCAGGGGCCTTTCCATAAAGACGATAGTCAATAAAGTAATCCTGCATATGTGCTCTTAGAAGATTAGTTCAAAGACGGTCAAATTTAACTTCGCATGATCCTCTTTGCTAATTGAAAAATCTGAAATCATCATAAATGATAGTTGACAACTTATTAGAGCAGCAACCAAGTTTTGGTTTCATTAGAATACTACTAAATTGAGAAGTAAATAGCATGATGATTAGTCATAAATTAACCCTAGGCCTAATGGGTCTAGGATCAGGTTAATTAGGGATTAAGCCACTACCTAAACCTATTCCGCTAGGGTTTCAGGAAACAGGTAACCACCTCTATATAAAGAGGTGGTGCATCTATCATAATTCATATTTTCTATCTTCTACACCTTCTACACACGATACACATCCTTTTCTCTCTACTCTCTCTATTCCTTTATTGACTTAAGTATCGGAGAGTCTACCCTCGGGAGATACCTGAGAATCTGTCTTGCAGGTTTAGAGTCGTCCACCGCCACCTAGATCATCGTTGCCGTCCGTCCTAAGGCACCATACAGATCCATGTTTCGTCACATGACATAAAGAAATCAGAAACCTGAATTCAGTCTGATCAAAGGAAATAAATTACAATAAAAGCTGAGAAATTAGAGGCAACAAAAATATGTCGAATAAGAAAAATAATAGACAAATCAATGATGTATGCACAAACACAGGTTTCAATTGTGAAAAGTGAAGAAAGATCCCATTATGGCCAAAATTATTGTAATTTAACAACAAAACCAGAAAGTGATTTCAACAAAGACCTGAATTATACATTCATAAACGACATTCAAAGATGGGGAAAAAAAACCTGATTTGCGTATGTCACTCAGTTAGACATTCACAGATGACAAGGATTTCAAGAGTAGACATATAGTGCACTTTGAAAATCTTAACTAAGATAGTGCATGTCAAGAAGAACTGTATTAAGGAAACAAAATTGTAAACCTCAAAACATCATCCAAAAAATAAACAACATCACCGAGATTAATGAAAACAGATTTGCACATCAAAATGTTAGTTGCATTCTTTCGCAGAGCAATAATATGATCAGTCTGGTATACTGCTCAAAAAACTCCAGAAATTTTAACAAGTGGGGCTCTAAGAATATTTAAAGAATGCAATACGAGAAGTTAATACTTTCTTTAATCAATATGCACATCGCATATGACATTCAAAATAAAAAAGCTGACTGTAGCAAACTTGACACCAGTGCCTGATCCCAAAGCTTCAAACTATTCAGCAATTTGAATGGCATTCTCTTCCTATTAAAGATCTCGAATAAAGAAATCTAAATTCCTATCCAAAAGATCAAATATTAGTTATGATGAACTCCCATGAACTGTTTAAATGCTTAAGAACTAAGGGAACGTAAATTATTCTTGGGAGAATTATTAGTCATAGATAGGGATAAAAACAATATTATTAGTGATGAGGAGCAAAACCAGGGAAGAGAAATAAACTAATAGGTGTTCTTCCACATTCTAGCACACTTGAAAACTATGTCTCAACAAATTATCGAGCTCAAATTGTCCTAAATACCAACATATTCAATGAAGCACATTAGATTAAAACCCTAGAATACATAAGACGCCAAGGCTCACAGAATCAAAAGGAGTAAAAATGGTTAAAGTCATCAGCAAGCCTAATCAAGGTCAACCTGAGGCGGGGTGGCTCTCCCATTAGGCAAAATAGACCGTCGCCTAGGGCCCCGGAATCAGAAGGGCCCCCGAA